TATAAAAGCATAAGGAAGCCAGGTGAAGCAGACCAATGCTGGCTGAAGGAGTTGGAAAACCTAGTATGTGGGAAACAGTCCTTGGGCTGGGTTTTATTTTGAGTAAAAATTTTTGTTAGGTCAAGAGGAATGTGGAGAGAATTCCAAGTGAAGAAATGATAGGAGAAAAACTTTGGAAGTTGGCTTGAGTATGTATGGCATTCTGAAGGGACACAAAACAACTAAGAAGAGGGGAGGATTTATGCTGGATAAGGAAGTGGTATGGAGCACAGTTCTATACTGAAACACATGGGGTCTCCATGAGTTGGATTTAGCTTGACAGCAACTGGTAATGGACACAAAATATGTAGACACGCATTAAGGTCCAAGAGGGTAGTCCCCAAGTGCATCACTGAGTCACTTGGCCTTCATCCTAAGGAATAGGAAACCACTAAAGGTGTCTGAGCAAGGATTTATGATGGAAGTAGTGTTTTAGAAAGATTAATTTGATTGTGTGAGGAAATAGATTACAGGCGGCGGGGGGGGGGGGGGGGGGGAAAGCAAGGAGACCAGCAGGGAGACTAAATCTAAAAGGAGTCTGTATGTAAAGTCATAAGCAACTGGACAAGGCTGATGGTGACAGGTTAAAAAAGATGGCACCAAAATGAGAACTATGACAAAAGGCAGGATGATCAATAGGACTTGGTGACTTTATAGGGAGCAAGGGAGAAGAGAAGGGTCAAAGGTAGTTTTCAGACAATGGGAACAAATGAAAAATGGCACTGGTAACAGAAATAATGATGACTAGGGAAAAAACAAACTGGCCTGAAGAAGAAAATCAGAAATCTGTCTTCGACACTAGAATGTAACATGACAGTGTGGAATGGTTACGGAGCTGTCTAGCAGGGAGCTAGAAATATGAGAGTAAACATCAAGAAAGTCATGGCCAGAGATCCATCAATGGGAGTTATAGAAATGGATGTGCTAATCCACATAGAGAGTCCTTAATGTAAAAAGTGGAGGGAAGACAACCCTAGAGAATACTGGCAATTAGGGAGAAGACAGAGGATGAAATAAAATAAAAAGACACTAGGTTATCAAAGAAGAAGAACTAGGCTGTCACAGAAACCAAGAGTAGTATCCAATGCCGTGGAGAGATGAGGGCAGTGGAAAACAGTGCAGGGACCAGAAAAGGAGGTTCTTGTCCTCCAGGCAAGCCAACAGGGGAGAGGGTGAGAAGAAAGATGCACAGGGCACTATGGGAGTCGGGAGCAGTGGAATGGAGGCAGCAGGCACCAACCACTCATTAGAGAAGTTCGGAAGGTGAGGAACTGGACAGCCAGCTAGAGGGGACAATAAGATGATGCATAGCTTTAAATTCAAATCAGGGAAGACTGCTGAGTTTGACAAGAAAGAGGAAGACGTCAGGAAAGAGATTAGGCAGTAACAATACAAAAACAAACAAACTCACTGCCTTTGAGTTGAACCCAACTCATAGTGACCCCTCCTTGGGTTTCTGAGGTGGTATCTCTACAGAAGTAGATTGCCGAACCCTCCTTCTGAGGAGTGGCTGGTGGGTTTGAACCGCCAGCCTTCTGGTTAGCAGTCAAATGCCTTAGGCACTAGCTAATAAATAAGCCTGAACATTTGGGCATATGTGTGCAGAAACACCGAGAATGAAACATTCATTAATACCCATCGTTACCTGGGCTTTCTGTAATGGTGCCATCCGGCAGCAGAGCACTGCAGTGCACTTCATACAGATCTGGAGGAAAATGCTTTTATAATTGTTTGAACTATAGTCTTGACTAGAATTTAGTATGAGTGACAATGTGGAGCCATCAATGATTAATCCATATTCCTGGTGCTCTGTCCATGCTCTAAAAAGGGGGGAAAAAGTATTTAAATCTATTACACATTTGTACTTAGGGTCTTGGTTTTTTTTTTTTTTAACCACAAAGGGAATGGTCCCAGATTAGAGTGAACAATCTGGTCCCTTGACCTGCAAATTCTAATGAAACAGCTGCCTCAAATAATGGCACAAGTGAAACTTCCTAGCACATCTCTGAGTCTGAAGCTGCCTGTGGATGACCACAATTCCTAAATGGTATAAAAATAAAGGAGGTGGAGTGGCCTGCCTTTGTACAAGAAACTCAAAGACAATTTTGGAAATTATAGCTCAGTCAGTCAAACTCTGCTATGAAGACAAATGATCAATCTGAAAACTCCTTAAACAACATAGGATATATACAAACAAAATGACTTTAGGGTAAACAAATCGCAGGGGACCCTCTCTTAAAAGCTTTGCCTGAGTGACAATACCTCTTAATTGAAAATGGCTTCTCAAATGTGATTGAGTACAATACTGGCATGTTCCTTAAGTAAGTACCATTTTATACTAGATGGGTGGTTCTCACCTTAGCTATCCCAGGGCAGCTTTACAAAATTCTCCATGCCTGGGGTCCATCCCTACACCAATGAAATGAGTTATCTGGGGGCAGACTTTGGATATAGGTATGTTTAAAAAATCTCCTAGGTAATTCTAGAAGGAGCCCTGGTTGTGCAGTGGTCAGCTTGGCTGCTAACCAAAAGGTTAGTGGTTTGAACCAACAAGCCACTCTGCCAGAGAAAGATGAGGCAGTCTGCTTCCATACAGATGACAGCTTTTAAAACGCCATGGGGATGGAGAAGTTCTATTCTGTCCTATCAGGCTGCTATGAGTTGGAATCGACGAAATGTCAACAGGTCTAGCTGTTTCTAAAGTGTAGTCAGGACAAAGAGGTATCAGGGGCCAATAAAGACAAATTTAACCTTACAACTGAGAAAAGTTTATCAATTAACTATTCTTTTGCAATTAAGGAAAAAGCCCACAGTGATTATTCAATTTTTGCTCCAGGATTCATGGATGTCTTTTGAGAAGCACCACAGCAGAAGCACTAGACACTGCAGGATCTCACAGTGAGAGGTTCACTCGCCTAACTTAAGGCTTCTCAAACTTTAATGTGCAAAGGAATCATTGGAAAATGGAGAAAAGAGGAGCAGCTCACTGGGTTACTGTGAAGACTGAGAATAATTACATAAAGCTTTTAACATTGTGCCTAAAACATAAAGTGTGCCTGAGAAGCTGTTGTTAGGTGCAACTGACTCCTACTGATCACATGTACAACAGAACGAAAACACTGCCTGGTCCTACTCCAGCCTCATAATCCTTACTACACTTGAGCTCACTGCTACAGCCACTGTGTCGATCCATCTCGTTAAGGGTCTTCCCCTCCTTCACTGGCCTTCTACTTTACCAAGCATGATATGCTTCTCCAGGGACTGGTCCCTTCTGACAACATGATCAAAGTAGATAAGAAAAAGTCTCCATTCTTGCCATTCTTGCCTCTAGGGAACATTCCACCTGCACTTCTTCGAGAACAGATCAGTTCATTCTCCTGGCAGTCCGTGGTATTTTCAGTGTTCTTCACCAACACCATAATTCAAAGGCATCAACTCTTCTTTGGTCTCCCATATTCACTGTCCAGCTTTCACATGCATGGCTTAGGTCAGGTGCACCTTAGTATTCAAAGAGACATCTTCATTCTCCAACACTTTAAAGAGGTCTTTTGAAGCAGATTTGCCCAGTGCGATACATCGTCTGATTTCCTGACTCCTGCTTCCATTGGTGTTGATTATGGAACCAAGCAATACGTAATCTTTGACAACTTTGATCTTTTCTCCATTTATCGTGATGCTGTTTATTTGTCCATTTGTGAGGATTTTCATTTTATGTTGAGGTATAATCCATACTGAAGACTGTAGTCTTCAATCTTCATCAGTAAGTGTTTCAAGTCATCTTTACTCTCAGCAAGAAAAGTTGTGTCACCTGCATATCTCAGGTTGTTAATGATTCTTCCTCTAATCCTAATGTCATGTTCTTCTTCATACAGTCCAGCTTCTTGGATTATTTGCTCAGCATATATATTGAATAAGTATGGTGAAAGGATACAACCGTGATGCACTCCCTTCCTGATTTTAAACCACGCCATGTCCCCTTGTTGTGTTGGAATGACAGCCTCCTGGTCTATGTACAGGTTCCTCATGAGTACAATTAATTGTCCTGGAATTCCCATTCTTCTGTGTTGTCCATACTTGTGTTATGATCCACACAATCAAAAGCTTTCGCATAGTCAATAAAACGAAAATAAACATCTTTCTGGTATTCTTTGGTTTCAGCCAAGATCCACTTGAGATCAGCAGTGATATCCCTCTTTCCACGTTCTCTTCTGAATCCAGCTTGCATTTCTGGAAATTCCCTGTCAATACACTGCTGCAACTGTTTTTGAATTATCTTCAGCAAAAGTTTACTTGTGTGTGATATTAATGGTTTGATAATTTCCATATTCTATTGGATCACCTTTCCTTGGAATGGGTACAAATATGGATTTCTGCCAGTCAAGCTGGCCAGGCAATGTCTTCCAACTTTCTTGGCATAAATGAATAAGCACCTCCAGTGCTGCACCTCTTTGTTGAAACATCTCAATGGGTATTCCGCCAATTCCCAAAGCCTTGTTTTTTGCTGAATTCCTTCAGTGTAATTTGGACTTCTTCCTTCATTACCATTGGTTCTTGATCATATGAGCCTCCTGAAATGCTAGAACGTTAACCAATTCTTTCTTGTACAGTGACTCTGTATTCCTTACATCTTCTTTTGATGCTTCCTGCATCATTCAATATTTTGCCCACAGAATCCTTCAATAGTGCAACTCGAGGCTTGAATTTTGTCTTTGATTCTTTCAGCTTGATAAATGCTGAACATATTCTACCCTCTTGATTTTCTAATTCTAGGTCTTTGCACATTTCATTCTAATACTTTGTCTTCTTAAGCTGTCCTTAGAAATCTTCTGTTCAGCTCTTTTATTTCATCATTTCTTCCACTCACTTTAGCTACTTTCTGTCCAAGACCAAGCTTCAGAGTCTCTTCTGACATCCATTTTGGTCTTTTCTTCCTTTCCTGTTTTTTTAATGACCTTTTGCTTTCTTCATGTATGATGTTCTTGATGTCATCCCACAACTCATCTGATCCTCAGTCACTGCTGTTCAATGCATCAAACCTATTCTTCAGATGGTCTCTAAATTTAGGTGGGATATAATCAAGGTCATATTTTGGCTCATATGGACTTATTTTAATTTGTTTCAGCTTGAACTTGAGTTTGCATATGAGCAATTGATGGTCTGTTCCACACTCATCTTCTGGCCTTGTCCTGACTGATGATATTGAGCTTCTTCATTGCCTCTTTCCATAGATGCAGTCAATTTGATTCTTGTGTATTCCACTTGGTGAGTTCCATGTGTATACTCGCCATTTGTGTTGTTGAAAAAAGGTATTTGCAATGAATAAGTTGTTGGTCTTGCAAAATTCTATCATGCCATCTCCAACATCATTTCTACCTCTTACTTCTTTGTTTCCAACTTTCACATTCCAATCACCAGTAATTATCAATACATCTTGTTTGCATGTTTGGTCAATTTCAGACTACACAAAAGCTGGTAAAAATCTTCAATTTCTTCATTTTTGGCTTTAGTGGTTGTTGTGTAAATTTGAACAGTAGTATTAACTGCTCTTCCTTGTAGGTGTATGGATATTATCCTATCACTGGCATCATTGTAC